GACCGAACTGACTTTACTTAACCTTTTCTGACTTAACATGAATACAATCATCATAATGACTCGAAAACGTAACTAATGCACAATGAACATGAAAGGGCCGTGGCGGGCGCGTCGTGCGCCGTCGACGGCTATACGCCGTCTCTCGGCCACAACTCCTTTTTCCACGGCAACTACAGAACAACTTGACATGAACATTAATATGAGGCAATTTTACGACATGAACACACGGACAATATGATTATTACTGAAATCACTAAGACATGGACCACGGCCGCCCGTGGCTACGCGCGATAGGCGCTAGCGACGGCGTGGGCCAATTCATCGACAAAACTTCATTTTGCCTCGACTAATCTGAACTTACTGAACATGAAATCAGTTAAACTGAACATTTAAACATCAACAGTTCGAGAGTTGCCGGGAAAAATGGAAAGTTGTTCGGTCGTGATCTTACTTAAGCATGATCGGCCTTAAGCATGATTTTCCTAGAAATTTTCAAATATGATCCGAACACTTCACCCTAACATGACCTTAACAACGTGAATAAAAGATGGGGAGGACGTTACCTCTTGCATCGCTCGACTGAATTGGAAAAATAGAGCGTGCTTCTGGTCCTTGCGTGTGCCGTGCGCTTATACTATCTTGGCCGTGCGTTTAGATGGGAAAATTAGGGAGATTGCTATCTTTCTTGCTGCTGAATATGGGGAGTATATAGGAGGAAATATGCTGCTTATGTCTAATAAGAAAATGAGGGAAAAATTCGACCAAAGTCTTCAATTTATACCAAAGCCGTAAGGGGGATGATGATGATGTATTGAAGACGTGGCTCCCTTCTCCTCTCAACATTTGCTAGTTAATGAAAGGGATTGTTGATGACTAATCCCCATACTTTATCTCTTCTTAAGCCACGTGGAACTCCAAGTGTTGGAGGAAAATTCTTCCTTAAGAATTAGGAAAGCTTAGTAAAATTGAAACATATACATAGTGCACGGCAATTTGCTACAAATTGGAGAAAATTTTGCCCTAACTCACGGCTTAATGCTTAAGTGTGTGATTAATTTACTAATTAATCACTACTTATGTTTAATTATTTAATTAAACATAATGCTTAATTACCAAAATTATTCCGAACGTAGACGGTACGTCGAAAATAAATTTCGGTAATCTCGACTGAACATAATTAACTCCGAAAATAATAAACGATAACGTTATTATATCGGAACTAAAACATAATTTATACCGATAAAATATCGGGATATTACAATCCTCCCTCCTTACAAAATTTCCATCCTCGGAAATTCAAAACATAGCTGGTATACATGAACTATGTACATAGGACAAAGAAATATGTACATCAAAACTGGAAATCTGGGAAACGAGCGCGAATGTCGGACTCCTCCTCCCAAGTAGCTCCGTGGCAATCCCACTGAATACGCACGAGGGGAATATCTCGCTTCCGGAGCCGACGGACCTGACGGTCTAGTACAGCTACCGGTCGCTCCTCGTACGTAAGGTCTGGCTGAACCTGAATATCCGTATGCGGGATGACGTGATCGGGGTCGCACACGTACTTGCGTAACATAGACGCGTGAAAAACATTATGAATGCCTGATAACTCGGTAGATAGGGCTAGACGATACGCGACCTGGCCTACTCGCTCGAGAACCTCGAACGGACCGATGAAACGAGGGTGCAGCTTCCCTCTCTTTCCGAATCGCACAACTCCGCGAATCGGACGAACTCTGAGAAAGGCTGGCTCGCCAACCTCGAACTGAATGTCTCGTCGATGATGATTAGCGGAAGATTTCTGTCGACTCTGAGCTGTCCTGAGTCTCTGCCGGATCAACTCGACCTGCTCCGCTGTCTCCTCGATCATCTTAGGACCGAGTACTCGCCTCTCTCCGACGTCGTCCCAATAAAGAGGGGAACGACACTTGCGACCATAAAGTGCCTCGTAAGGAGCCATCTGAATGGAAGAATGATAGCTGTTGTTATACGCGAACTCGGCGTACGGTAACAACGACTCCCACTTAGCACCCCTGTCAACAACCAAAGCGCGAAGCATATCCTCAAGTGTCTGAATAGTCCGCTCTGACTGACCGTCCGTCTCCGGATGGTAGGCTGAACTGAACTCTAGCTTCGTGCCCATCGCCTCATGTAAGCTGTGCCAGAATCGACTGACGAATCTGGGATCTCTGTCTGATACGATTGTAACGGGCACTCCGTGGAGTCGGATGATCCCACGGGTATATATCTCAGCCAACTTGTCCAGAGACATCTTCATCGAAACGGGTAAGAAATGCGCAACCTTAGTCAATCTGTCGACCACGACCCAGATAGCGTCGTAATGTTCAGACGACCTCAGCAATCCCGTAACGAAATCCATCGTGACTTCCTCCCACTTCCACCTCGGAATCGGTAGTGGCTGCAGGAGGCCGATCGGACTCTGATGTTCGGCTTTGACTTGCTGACAGGTAAGACACCTCCTGACGAACTCGACGACGTCCTTCTTCATGCCTCGCCACCAAAACGACCCTTTCAGGTCGTGATACATCTTCGTGCTCCCGGGATGGGCCAGATAGGGTGCGCTATGTGCCTCTGATAGAATCTCCTTCCGCAACGCCTCGACCTTCGGGACCACGATCCTGCCTCTGAACTCTAAGGCACCATCGGCACCTAGCTGAAATCCTGGACGCCTCCGGCACGAACCTTGGCCTCCATAACATGAACAAACTCGTCAGAAGCCTGCTCTCGCCGGATTCTCTCTCTCAGTGTCGGCTGAAGCTGCATAGCACTGACACTGTCACTGGTACTCCCCGAGACAGCTATGGGAAGTGCATCAATCGCCTGAAGCTGCATCCGGGCAAACTCATGAATCAACGGACTCTGCTGAGTAATGACGTACGTCAAGTCACCCTTCACCTTTCGGCTTAGAGCATCTGCGACGACGTTCGCCTTTCCCGGATGATACTGAATAGAGCAGTCGTAATCCTTGACAAGTTCGAGCCAACGGCGCTGCCTCATATTAAGCTCCTTCTGCGTGAAGATGTACTGCAGGCTCTTATGGTCTGTGAAAATCTTGCAATGTCCGTCGTAAAGATAATGTCGCCAGATCTTCAGGACATGAACGACTGCTGCTAACTCCAAGTCGTGCGTCGGATAGTTCTGCTCATGAGGCTTAAGCTGACGTGAAGCATACGCGACGACCTGGCCGTCCTGCATAAGGACACATCCCAAGCCCTGTCTCGAAGCATCGCTGAAGATAGTGAATCTCCGAGAAGGATCGGGAATAGTCAACACCGGTGCTGAAGTTAACCTCCTCTTGAGCTCCTGAAAGCTCGCCTCACAACGATCAGTCCACTCGAACTTCACAGACTTCCTCGTCAGCTGGGATAGAGGGAGGGCGATCTTGGAAAAACCCTCGATGAATCTGCGATAGTAACCAGCTAGACCGAGAAAACTGCGAACCTCGGACGGACTCCTCGGTGTCGACCAATTCTGAACGGCTGAGACCTTAGAAGGATCCACCTCGATGCCTGCCTGAGTAATCACATGACCCAGAAAGGATACTCGCTGAAGCCAGAACTCGCATTTGGAGAATTTGGCATACAACTTTTCTCGTCTGAGGGTTTCGAGAACCACCCTCAGATGCTCCTCGTGCTCCTTCTGGCTCTTCGAGTAAATAAGAATATCGTCAATAAAGACAATAACGAACTGATCGAGGTAGGGATGATAGATACGATTAATGAGGTCCATGAAAACTGCTGGCGCATTGCTGAGACCGAAAGGCATGACGACGAACTCGTAATGGCCGTAACGAGTCCTGAAAGCGGTCTTAGTGATATCTAACTCTTTAATCTTCAGCTGGTGGTAGCCTGATCGTAAATCAATCTTCGAGAATACACAGGCTCCCCTCAACTAATCAAATAAGTCGTCGATCCTGGGAAGCGGGTACTTATTCTTGATCGTCAACCGGTTAAGATCCCGGTAGTCGATACACATACGCATGGATCCGTCCTTCTTCTTGACAAAGAGAACGGGTGCTCCCCAAGGTGACACGCTCGGTCGAATAAAACCGAGTCGTAACAGCTCCTGAATCTGGGTCTTAAGCTCCTGCAACTCTTTAGGCGCCATACGATACGGGGCTTTGGATACTGGACCGGCCCCTGGAATAAGATCGATAGAAAACTCCACCTGACGGCTGGGCGGTCCTCCTGGAAGCTCGTCTGGGAACACGTCCACAAACTCGCGAACGATTGGAACATCATGAGGTGTCCGCGCTTTCTGAGAATCATCAACAAGGCTAACCAGATAACCCTGGCAGTTGCCTCGTCGCAATAACTTAGTGGCTTTCGCCATCGAAACAACCTGAGGCAGTGAACGATTCTTGGAGCCGAAGAAAGTAATCGACTCGTCTCCCGGAAGATAGAGAGTGATCTCCCGGTCATGACACCTGATGTCTACATGATAGAAGGATAGCCAATCCATCCCGAGAATAAGATCGAAGTCTCTCATCTCGAGAACAAACGCATCGGCAGTCAATACTCGGCCACCGATGGAAAGGCTAAGATCTGAGGCTTTAGCTGAGGTCACTATCTTTCGTCCCGAGGCTAAACTCACCTCGAGAGGATCGACAGCGGTAACGGCGTGAACTCTGATGGCATCGAGACATCGTCGTGAAATGAAAGTATGCGTCGCTCCAGTATCGAATAACGCAAACACAGGAATATCATTGAGGACAACCATCCCTGACATAGTACCTGGCTGCTGAGCTGCCTCGGCCTGATCAACCGCGTAAACCCTGGCCTGCTGCCTGCCCCTCTGCTGCTGCTGCTGCTGAGGCGGCCTCTGTGCCTGCTGTCGTGGCTGCTGCTGCTGTGGTGGCTGCTGGAGTCTCTTCGGACAGCGACTCGCAAAATGTCCCGGCTCATGGCAATAGTAGCAGATGTCCTGTCCCATACGGCACTCTCCCCTGTGAAGTCGACCACAAGTCGGGCACGGTGGAATCGGCTGCTGTCTCTGTCGGGTCCTTCGGTCAGTCTGTGCACCCTTTCCCTTCCTCTTCTTCTCCTTTGCTGGCTGAGGGGCTGGTAGAGCTGGTGGAGCTGCAAATGGCTGAGCTGGGGCAGATGGCTGGGCACGATCACGGACTGCCTCCCTCCTGATTCTAGCGTCCACCTCCTGGGCGATAGAAACTGCACGAGCGTAGGTCTGAGTCCCGTGTCCCACGATGTTGTGACGGACTGCTGGGAAAAGCCCGTCAATGAACCGCTGCGCTCCCTGAGCCTCTGTGCGAACAAGATCCGGTGCGAAACCTGGAAGTCTAGTGAACTCGCGCTCGTACTCATCAACAGTACGAGTGCCCTACTGAAGCGCTAAGAACTGGCGCTCCATCTCTGCCCGATAGTAGGAAGGGTAGTCTCTTATCGCGGACTAGCTCCTTGAACATGTCCCATGTACAACCCGCCTTTTCACCAGGACGCATGCTCCAGTAGGCATTCCACCAGAGCCTTGCATCGCCAGTGAGCTGAAGCTGAGCGCAAACTACGCGATACCTATCGGGGCATTCTATAACCTCAAAGATAAACTCTAAGCCCTGAATCCATTCATCAACAATGCGGGGATCTCCATGCCCTGAGAACTTTTCGGCATGATAGTCGCGGAACTGAGCGACTACCGTAGCCTGAGTAGGAGCCTGATGATCGGGTTCCCTACGTGGCGGCATCTGAACATTGAGAAGATTTTAACATTACTGAATACATGATAACATTACTGACTGATTACTAAAGCACACAGATCTCTTGACGAGTTGCCAAAAGTGGCCGATAAATACTGACGTGAAACCTGAAGAACTCTAGAGTCATATAGGAAGATCCTAACGTCTAGAGTCATATCTGAATATCCTTAATTCTAGAGTCATGTCCGAACTCTAAGGTCTGAACCTGATTCGAGCATCTTAACTAAAGTCCTGATCCTTAATTCTGAGCATAGACAAAGTAATATGTTTATAACTGAAAAACTGAATCAGCACTTACCTGTCGTCGGCGGGGCGTGAGCATGACAGTTCAGGTTTTTTCTGAAAAATTACTGACTGAAAACTTTTCAGAGACGCAGAAACGTGCTCTGATACCAATTGTAACACCCCTCCTTATTGTAAAATCAGAGTACGCAAATTCCGCAAAGTTATTGAAAATAAAACCCTTTTTACTTTGCGAAAACTGATTCGGGGTGCTACCTTTAAAAATCGTGACTTAATTTAGAAAACCGTTGGTTTAATTTTAATAAAATCGTCCGGTTACTGAAAGCATAAGTTTCTCAAAATGAGTATGTCAAAAGTCATCAAAAACATCGTCACAAGTCATCAAAATATCACAAGCGGAAGCGTAAGTCATCATCATATTTATACAGTCCAAAACATAAATATCCTGAAGTCCCCGTCACGTCACGCTCATGCTCCCGGCCTGACGTCCTGACCTGAAAAACATGATAAAACTGGGGAGTGAGCACTATGGCACTGTGCTCCGTGGAAACTCATACTAATGTAAAACATCGAAAATAATAACAACATCATGATATCAGTATATACATAACCTCAACCTCAAGCCGGTAATAAACATGAATCTGAAATTGTCACGCAACCGTGACCCTGAAATCGTGACGCAAACGTGACCCTGACCGTTACCTCATCTGCCGGCAAAGCCGGACACCATGTGCACACTCTAGTGGGCAGACTAGGGCCACTAGAACCCAGAATGGACCGGCGACCATTCCGAGCGGATACCTCAACTGAAATACATACCTCAAACATGGTACTGTAATTATAATCAATGTAGTACGTAGTCTGAGTCCCCACCTGAACTGCTGAAACTGATCAGTAGTACGGATGCCTGATCAAACTGAAAATAATATAAACAATTACTAATGATTATGCTCAGACTGTTAACTTAACTGATAATTTTCGTTAAGATGCTCTACTGAACTTAATGATATTTAGACTTATCCGGGATAACCGGAACTGACTTAACCTGAACTGATTGGACATGAATTTACTGAACTGAAATAATCCCGGAAATTTAACTGAAAATGTCCTTAAAATTATAAACCGGGCTGAACACTTAAACGTGAAACGAACCGGACTAAAATGAGACTGAACCGGTCCAGCCGGTCTGAACCGGTCTGGACCGGACTGCGGTTCAACCGAACCGGCAGTCGGCTGTGCTCGGCCAGCAGCCTGCCGCGTGCTGCGCGCAGCATGCACAGGCG